TAAGAAGGAACCCCAGAACCCTATTCAAATGATAAAGGCCCCTATAGTAGATTATAGTAGTGTGGGGGTCTGGGGTGAGGGTCCTACCTTCGGGATCCCCTGTTTGGGTGTCGCTATAAGCCGAATTTGCCTATGTAGGGTCCTAGGCTAGAGCCCGAGCCCCTATCCGCAAGCACCGAAAGCCCCGCCTGAATCGATTAAGCAGAAGGTCCCCTTCGACGTCGCCACTGGCTCGGCTCGCTATGTCTTCTTGACAAAGGGTCTGGGCCGGGGACTCTTCAAAGAGGAGCCAAAAGAGCGCTTGCTGCTGCTGGGCGCTGTGAGGGGCTTGGGACCTGCCTTCTTACGGTCCCTTTGTCCGTCCTTATTATAATACGGCACCTATTATTTAGGGTACCCAAAACGGGACCTCAGTTTTGACAACCACCCAAGTGACCGAAGTGTCAAGACCAATGTCCGAAGAGAACTTGATTGCACAATGGAACTTTAAGGACGAAATGAGCCCTAAAAGGTTTGAAGGTTCATATACCATATAGGGATTCATAGTATATGGGTATAGGGCCCTACTTTTGACGGTCATTTGGTCCTTCAGGAATGCAGGTCTGACAAGAAAGGCCAACAGCTCCAAGCCCCACAAACCACCGATACAGAACTCCCCCTGCCGACAGAGTCGTGACTTCAAGCTGTTGGCCTCGTCATATAGGGGCCTGAATCGTTACCTATACTACTTTGCGGGCTCCTTATTTTAATTACAGTATAATGGGCCCCAAAACCCTATTATAATGATGGAGGCCCCTCGAGTAACAGCTCTGTCGTCGAGATCTCATCCGCTGAACATCGGCTCCCAGCGTTTTTCGGAGGGGCACTTGCTGCTGCAAGAGGCTTCTGGGGCAGTGGTTTAGGGTTTAGGGTTTAGGGTTTAGAGGCTTCTGGGGCAGTGTGAGGGCCAGTGGGTTTTTCTGTTCCGGAAGCTCAGAGGACTTAGTAAGTAGGGTTACAAGTAAGGTAACTGGAGTTATAATTATGTACTTGTAACCTTAATTAAGGTAACTATAGTTATAATTATGTACTTGTAACCTTAAATGAGGTATTTATAACCCTACTTACTAAGTCCGAGGAGGGCTCCGATTTGTTCATTGTAGCGGGTGGGCAGGTTGCCGCTCATTGGCCGGTTGAAGATCCGACCAAGCTTGGACGGGTAATCGATTCATCTTTAGAGGACTCGGGTTTGGAGCTTGGAGTACCTTATTTTGGGGTCTTTGTAATAATGATCCTACTATCTAGGGTACTACATTTTGTATGTTTCAGGGAACTCGGCAACTGGATCATTGAGGATTTCGATTCTGGTTATTGTTCAGCTTCCGTGCTGCAGATCAGCTTACATCGATTGTCTGGGCTCAAGATGTGGAGCTTTGCACTGGAAGGGTGCGCTTGTGAAGATGAGCTCCCGACTTTGAGAGCTCGCTTACTGTAGGAGCTTAAATCATTACCAATACTGTTGTGGGGGTTCCTTACTATAACTGTAAAATAATGGGCCCTCAAAACCTATTCTAATTATTATGCCCTCTATATTAGTGGACCAAGCTTCCGTCATGCCGCGAAGAATCCGACACTCATGCGGGAAGGTCGGGTCTTCAATTGCTGTTGTGTGCTTCCCTGGTGCTTTGTCGCTTGCTATTTTCTTCCTGGAGTATGATGGATACTACAGACATCAGCTGTCATTAGCACCATCAGGTATTCAGGCAGATGAGCGCAAGAATGCAGCCTTCTTGCACTACGCACCTGCGGGCTCGCGAGTGGGAAGGGTGACCCATGCCGGCCGGAATGCAGTCGAAGCTGTGGCAGGTGCTGGGTTGAGCATCGGGGCAAAGATGAAGCCCACTGTGGAGCGGCTGCAAGAGGTGGGATTCAGCAATGCCCAAGTGTCCAAGGCCATTGCCAGGTGTCCCCGTTTGCGTGGGTACAGCAGTGAAGCCAACTTGAAACCCACCGTGGAGTGGCTTCACGAAATGGGTCTGAGCAAGGGCCAGGTGTCAAGGGCCATAGCCAGTCATCCTGCATTGCTTGGGTTGAGAATCGAGGCCAACTTGAAACCCACAGTTGAGTGGCTGCACGAAGTGGGTCTGAGCAAGGCCCAGGTGTCCAAGGCCATTGCTGCCTATCCTGCACTGTTTGGGTTGAGCATCGAGGCAAACTTGAGACCCACTGTGGAGTGGCTGCACGAAGTGGGGCTGAGCAAGGTCCAGGTGTCCAAGACCATTGCCATGTTTCCCAAATTGCTTTGCTACAGCATCGAGGCAAACTTGAAACCGACTGTGGAGTGGCTGCATGAAGTTGGTCTGAGCGAGGCTCAGGTGTCCAGCGTCCTTGCCACCCACCCTCGGGTGCTGGGATACAGCATCGACAAGAACCTCTCCCCAAAGCTCTCCCTCCTGCAGCGGTACTACAATGCAGATTCCATTCGAGACATGATCGCCATTTGCCCTGCGCTGTTTTCATATGCTCTCGCTCGTTTGGAGGATCGGCTCCTCATTTTGCATGGACGCGGCCAGCTTTCGAAGCTCCTCACCGCCATTTCGCTGACCGAAGACCGCTTTGGACGGAGGTATCCTGCGTGAGTCAATTGGGAGTTGGTGCAATCTGCGGAGGCGAAGTTGACGCGAACAGAAACAATGGATGTGCGTCATTGGTCGTTTGTCGTTGTCTGTTCTCTTCCTGGGTGTTTCCCTAAGCATTCATGATCCGTTGGGAATTGGCGTAGCTTTGACTGCTTTTTTTTGCTACAGCGACGTGGCTATAAGCGCCTGACCAGCAGAACCATCCTTATGGCTCCAGTTACTTAAGTGGGTGGTTGTCAGAATTAGGGTCCCTTTATGGGTCCTTAACATAATACGGCACTTAATATTTAGGGTACCCAGAAAGCGACCCTAGTTTTGACAACCACCCAAGTAGTAGGTTACTACCCATATAATAGGACCTAGAGTAGGCCTTTGTTTCCTTTTTCAGGGTTCAGGTTCCTGTATAAACGCCTTGAAACCAAAAAGGATCCCTTTCTATTCCTAGGATACTCTTGGGTCTAGTATAATACGTACCCCAGTAACCTACCCTAAATTTTAAACCCTTTAGGTACCTGGAGCCCTAGGACATGATCAATGCAAGTAACGTTTTGGTCAACTGAACTCTTCCAGTGTGTCGAAGCAGGTTTTGCCATGTGAAAGTTTCCGAAAACAGGGGACCCTAACATAGCACCCTAAATAATTGGATCCTTATTATAAGGACCCCAAACAAGGTGCCTGTAATTTTCGGAAACTCCCATGTGGTTTCTTTTCCAAGTTACCGAAGCAAGGAAGAGCGTGTTTTACTCAAGCTTGAGCCACGACACTGCTGCACCCGACACCCCGAACTAAGCGGTTAGGGGTTTAGGGTTTGAAAGCCCTAAAGCCCCTGAGTACCCCTACAGCACCGTGTTCAGCAGGCCCCAGCGACGAAGCCATGCTGGGCTCCGCACATGCCGCAGACAACACGAAGAGGAATCGAAAAAGCGTGTGTGTGTGTATATATATATATGTATATAATTTGTATTTATATATACATATATATATGTATATGTGTGTATATGTGCGTGTTTGTATTCTGGTGGTTTGGGCCCTTTGGGATACAGCAATACATTTTGAGCCACATATTTGTAAAGCACGCTTGATGGATATATATATATATATACACACACACATAACTCCGTGTGTACACATAATATACACACGTATGTACGCATGTATGTATGTGCAACTCTGCACTTCAAAGAGCTTCAGTGCTTCGCTGCTTGAGCTTCACGTCGCGTGGAGCACCAAACCTCCTAAACTCCAGGACAAGAAGCAGAAGAAAGAGGCAAACATAATCGCCCAGCAGTGTGATCGAAGTCCCGAAGACTGGACAAGACGAAGGGGGAGGCTCAAGGAATTCCAACCACTGTGCATCCCTCCCTTCTTCTTTCCATGTCGATGTGTTGGTACATGTATTCTGTATTAGTGTGTATGTGCATGCTCTTTAGATGCCTTTGTCCCAGAGAAGCAGCGAGAGAGAAACAGAGAGGGAGGTTCAGAGGAAAAAGAAGCGAGTCAAAGAGAGAAATCAAAATCTTCCCCTCGTCGTTGGCTCACAGCGGCCCTCGGGGGGGGCGGTGTCCGCAGCTGCAGGAGGCCTTGCACCCTTACTCAGGGTTTCTTGTATGCAGAGCTGACACGGCTGCCCTCAAGCCCCAAATAGAGCAACAAGTATTTGTTTTGGAAATAAACCCAAAACCCTATAAACCCTTATCCCTGAACCCCCAAACCGTCAACCTAACTTAAAAAAAAACCCAACCCCCCCCTCGCTTTAGACCCCGGAAAGGTTCTGCCCTAGCACCCCTCCACGAGGCGGCGAGGCTCCAGAGGTCCTTGTGTTTTCATGGGCAAGAGGGGACTTCGTAGCTGAGTGGATGCACTTTACACTTTTGGGGATAATATCACCCACTATAAAACTAAGAGTGGACACTTTTTAAAACTAAGAGTGTACACTTTTTGGGGCTTATGAACTCAGCAACTAAGGGGAGCACGTTGTTCCTGCTGGCCTCAAGTGATGCAGAATGCGGGCCTCCACAGATCATATGCACATATATGCACCCCTGAGGTTTCAAAAAACCTGAGCCCTCAAAGCCTAAAAGTCCTGAGATCCAATCGAGCACCGCTTCGTTATGATGACTCGAGAGTTTTTGTTCGGTTGTGGAAGATATACGATTCAAGCAGTACCTCCCTCTTTTCTTTTCGAAATGACGCCCAAACCCTCCTTCCTTTAACCTGAAGAAAACTTTAGTTTAGAGCATTACTTCATGCCTCAAATCTCGAACATGCCACCAAATCGAAAGCCTGGACCCCCAAAACCCTAAACTTCTAAATCCTAAACCCCTGAAAACAAAAAAATCAAACTGCATAAGCAGGCGCGGCACACCCCTGGGGCTTTGAGCCATGCCAGGGATCTTTCAGGCCGGTCCCGGGTCTGTCCGGGAGTGGTTTCGTGCTGCTACATACGTGAGTTTACATATAGATGAAAGTAGATGAAAGTGCACATGCACAACCCAAAAAGAATCGCAAAGCCCACAGAAGCCCCTGAAGCGTCTCCCCGCCTTGGAGGATCTGCAGCCCTGCCTGGACCAGGGAAAGAAGGCCCACGAGGAGATCCAGTCCCGGCCCCAGGAAAGGAGATATTCGTTTGGGGGCTTTGGTTCTCCTTATTTGGATGGGTTTAGGGTTCAGAGCTTTTGAGTGGTAGTCCGGTGTTGTTGAACATGGCCTTTCAGTGCACAAGTTGCGCTGGGCGTCCCATGTTTGCCTTTCGGGCCTGGTGCATCAAACTTCACCTCAGAATGGGTGTGCGGTGTTGTTAGAAGCACAAATGATGTCAAGCTCTATTATTCAGTGAGGCAGGACTCCGGCTCAGCCTCTAAGTGCTCGACCGCTGCAAGAGGACCAGACTTCCAGTCCAGACAAGCACCGTGAAGCATCAAGCCCAAAAGCATAACCCCCGAGCAATTAAAGATCAATCATGTGTATGAGCTTCTTCGTGTTTTGAACTTGCCTCGTCCTTGTGCAGCCCAGCCACCATAACAGCTGTTCAAAGTACTGTCGTGCTGGACACACTGACGGTGCTTGCAAGGAAAAAGCATGGGCCGGATTCAGCGGCCAAGATTGAGGGGCACTGCACTTTCGTGCCAGGGCCCTGGCCGATCCGGTCTTCCTAACCTCTTGGAACAATCTGGTTCCTAATTATCCGATATGGGGTTTTCCGAAAATAGGGGACCCTAATATAATACTCTAGATAATAGGATCCTTATAAGGACCCCAAAATAAGGTACCCCTAGTTTTCGGAAATTCCCTTTTGCTCAGAGGCCCTCAGGCATCCTAGGGTCCTGTGTGATTTCTTGGAGCCCAAGCACTGAATCTTCCAAGTTGCAACTTTTTTGTTCAGGAACGTACACTGCTCGGCGGAGTTGCAGGTTCTCGAAGTTCCATGGCCTTACCTTGTTGTCGGACCTATGCCTTGAGTCCTTTTGGAAATGTCTGGTGCTGGGAGGGATATTCTGGAGTCTCTACCTCCGGTTTGCTAGAGTTCAAACCCCCGAGCCATCCAAACTTCCAACACCTCAACGGCTGAACTTAGTTTAATTGTGCAATCGGGTCGTCTTGAAGAAGCCACATGGGGCTGCAGTAGTTGTCCATGTTCCTAAGTCAGTTGACGGACTCCTTAATCTTCGTGGAACTCTGAGTGTCAGCACGGTTTAAAGCCTGTCGCAGGTGGGACTGGGTCCGGGAAGAGATGCCTCTCGAGCAGCTCGGCCACAATTAGCCGGCGCGCAGGTCTGATTACTTACCTTGGGTTAGTAGGGAATGGAAGAATGGTAGCAACAGTACTTATAGTTGTACCCCCATTCCTCCATTCCCTACTAACCAAAGGTAAGATTATGCGTCGTCGGAGGTTGCTGAGGGCAGAATGGTCAGGCATCACCACTTCCACAGGATGCATCTAACGACCGTGCTTCCGCCAGGAACGATGAGGGCACCGCTCTAGAAGAGTCAGCCACGGCCTTGGCAGAGTCGTATCCATGCAAGGATGGAAGCAACCCCCGTCGATAGAAGCCACAGACACAGCGTTTGGATTGATTTGATGTTATTGAGCGGCTGAGGTTCGCGAAATCGTCGCGAACTCCTGCTGCCAGTACGCCTGCCGCATTTTGCAAGGTTTGAGCGTCATCACTCGTCATGCGGTGAGTGGAGTGATTTGCAGCATTTTGTAAGAACCAGCCGCAGCATCGCAACTTGTGGCTTAAGTGTCAACAATGCCACGAAGAATCCAGCGCCAATGGGCCAGGGCTTTGCAGGGGGGTGTGTTGTGCTTGCTTGGCTTTCTGACGCCTGGGCCTGCAGCAGTTTCTTTCACATCGTCTTGGTGGAAAGCCGGACATTCCCGACAGGTGCACCGGAGTGTTGCGGAGGTGGAGCTCTTGTCGCACCTGGCCGTTCTTTTGGCGCCGCACCAGCCGATCGCGGAGCTATTTCGTGATTTTTGCGTCGAGCCATCGGAGAACTGGGCATCAAGCCGTTTGAGCCCGGACTTGGCTGTGCCTGGCGTTTTGACGAAGAAGGAGGCCGTGTTGTTCGTGGAATATGATGGCTACTACCGGCATCAGCTACCCTCCGGGATTGTCGCAGACGAGCGCAAGAACGCAGCCTTACTGCAATATGCGCCAGCGGGCTCGCGAATTGTCAGGGTGGCCCATGCCGAGCGGAATGTGTCCGGAGGTGACGACAGAGCAGCCGAAGTTGTGGTGAGTACTTGGCAGCCAGGTAGCCACAGATCCCTGTGGAAAATTGTATGTCAACTCGTACAGCATTTATCCGGCAAGTCGAGGGGTCTGCTCCGTCCTGCATCAAGAGCACGGCTTCTCGAATTAGGTCACCAAGCTGGCTGCGTGGATCTGGAGCCTGCAAGGTCTTTCGTGCAGGAAGTTATACTCTCAAGTGGAGGTGGGACAAGAGAGAGCAGAAGGGCTCGGGTCCTTGCATTTCTTGAAAAGAACATCGCTTTGCCAGAGGCTGTGGCTGAGAAAGCATTGCAGAAGTTCACCACGCTGCTTGGGCACAGCATCGAGGCGAAATTGAAACCCACTGTGGAGTGGCTGCATGTAGTGGGTCTGAGCAAGGTCCAGGTGTCCAAGGCCATCGCCACTCATCCTCAGTTGCTTGGGTACAGCATTGCGGCAAACTTGAAACCGACTGTGGAGTGGCTGCACGAAGTGGGTCTGAGCAAGGGCCAGGTGTCCAAGGTCATTGCGAGCTTTGCTCCGCTGCTTGGGTACAGCATTGAGGCAAACTTGATACCCACTGTGGAGTGGCTGCACGAAGTGGGTCTGAGCAAGGTCCAGGTGTCCAAGGCCATCGCCATTCATCCTCAGTTGCTTGGGTACAGCATCGAGGCGAAATTGAAACCCACTGTGGAGTGGCTGCATGTAGTGGGTCTGAGCAAGGTCCAGGTGTCCAAGGCCATCGCCACTCATCCTCAGTTGCTTGGGTACAGCATTGCGGCAAACTTGAAACCGACTGTGGAGTGGCTGCACGAAGTGGGTCTGAGCAAGGGCCAGGTGTCCAAGGTCATTGCGAGCTTTGCTCCGTTGCTTGGGTACAGCATTGCGGCAAACTTGAAACCGACAGTGGAGTGGCTGCACGAAGTGGGTCTGAGCAAGGGCCAGGTGTCCAAGGTCATTGCGAGCTTTGCTCCGTTGCTTGGGTACAGCATTGAGGCAAACTTGAAACCCACTGAGTGGCTGCACGAAGTGGGTCTGAGCAAGGTCCAGGTGTCCAAGGCCATCGCCATTCATCCTCAGTTGCTTGGGTACAGCATCGAGGCGAAATTGAAACCCACTGTGGAGTGGCTGCATGTAGTGGGTCTGAGCAAGGTCCAGGTGTCCAAGGCCATCGCCACTCATCCTCAGTTGCTTGGGTACAGCATTGCGGCAAACTTGAAACCGACTGTGGAGTGGCTGCACGAAGTGGGTCTGAGCAAGGGCCAGGTGTCCAAGGTGTCTCCGTTGCTTGGGTACAGGCCATCGCCATTCATCCTCCGTTGCTTGGGTACAGCATCGAGGCGAAATTGAAACCCACTGTGGAGTGGCTGCATGTAGTGGGTCTGAGCAAGGTCCAGGTGTCCAGAGCCATTGCAACCTTTCCTCAGCTGGTTGGGTTGAGCATCCAAAAGAACCTGGTGCCAAAGTTGTGTCTTTTGCATTGTTATTTGTCTCCAGCCGCCAGCCGGGACATCATCGCCACTTTTCCTCGGCTGTTTTCTTACAGCCGAGTTCGGCTTCGGGATCGCTTGGCAATCCTGCACGACCATCAACTCGTTTCGAAACTTCTCTCTGTCATAACCCTGACGGATTGCAGCTTTGCACGGAGATTCCCACAGCATCGCTGTCGCACTAGCAGTGCATGCCGTATCGCCCTGTGCGACTGCAGTTCGGTGCAGAAACGGGCCTCTTGGTCCAGAAGTTGCCCCCTTTCTCGGATTCCTGAGTTTGTGACTAGATCGGTTTCCGGACATACCGATGGGTAGGAGGCTAAGTGATGTCATCTTGAAACACAGAACGCTACTTGGCATCATCTTCAGAACGCTTGAGTGCCAGGCCAGCCCCGAAGGTGGAGATCACACCGGTGGAGACCGAGGACGTGCCGGTTTGGCTGTAGCTGTCTTTTTCATGCAGTAAGTAAGAATGGCAAAACACGGAAACACCGGTACATCGAGACGTATGCGTAGCTACCAGCACATTGTCGCACCCCTCAAAGCGTACAGTATAGTCAGGCGAGCACCACGCTGTAATCAAATTCTGCTTCTGGACAAGCGCTCAGGTCAGACAGCCTCATGACGGCTTAAAACTCTGGAAGCCCTAAGCCTAACATCTAAAAACTGCTTGTGCAACCAAAACACGGTAAGCAGAACTCTACCCCGCTTGTTGCCTGTGTTTCCTGGTTGCCCAAGCATTCTTCGGGGCCAGACAAACCTGAAGTCCACATGAACGTAAGACAAGAGGTGTCCTGTTTAGAACAGGATCCCAGAGGGCCACGCAAGCATTAAAGATCTCGCAACTTGCTTCTTGCAGGGGTTCTTAGATACCCTGAATGCAGGACCCTTGTTTTATTTGTTGCTTTCTATGGCCATCTACTGTTTCGAGACAGCCTGAAGCCTGATATAGTCAGGACGTGCTCGTCTTCGCCGACCAAGCAGGGCTTTGTCAGAAGTGCCCCCGACTTGTTTTAATCCGCCCCTTCCTTCCGCGCTGCATGGCCCTGAGACTGGAAACGAGGGCCGAATTTTGGACCCGGATCGTAACTCCTGGACCCGAAACCTCACAGCCAACCTATCAGTTCCTTAACAGCCATATAGTATACATGTCTCGATTTTGGGATGCTCGTTGGAGTGGCAGCGCCTGCAGGGCTTGGGGTCTAGCTTTTGAGGGTTTCGGTGTCTAGGGTTTTAAGATTAGTCTATTGGTTTGGGCCTCGTGAATTTGGAGTAGCATTGAGACTCGAGACGGTTGTACTTCAATTTGGTGTCGTGCCCTGTGTTCCGCCGTGGCGATCGCGACCTTGTGGCAAGGGAACCTGAGAATCATGGCTGCATAATCCTTCGAGACCCCAGAGACGGTCGGGATGCTAGGCCGGGCTCTTGTTTAATAAAAACTACCATAAACATAGTAAACCCCTGTTAAGGGGTTTGAATTACAAGTTACTATGTTTATGGTAACTTTTATTAAAACCCTCAACAAGAACCCAGTAAGTTATGAATTTGGCTCCTGTTGTCTTCGCGCGATTTGGCAGCTGTTGCGGAGGCCCTCCAATGAAATCCTGCATACCTTCCTATGCCAGGCTCCTTGAGAAAGCGCCGGAGGGGCGAGTGTCGGCCTTACAGCCGTTCACTGATAGTCAAACTCATTTCTTTCTGGAGAGTTTAAATGTACGATCGCAGCAGTAACACCTACTCAAAACCATCACGCGCTATCCTTCCAAGTAGATAGCCTGCCAACACAACGTGCAACCACAAGAGCAATCCCATCATTCCAACCCTCGATACCCTAGACCTTGAGCCTCCAGCCGTGTCAGCCCAGGTGGGAACCAAGAAGGTTATCACCAAGCCTCCGCGGCTGCTTACTCAGGATCCGGTTCCCCGGGAGATCCCCCGAGCCTGGTCGACTTTTAGATTGTAGAAGTGTAGAGCTTAGAAGGGCGCCTTTACAGGAAACCTGGACCAAATTATCAACACTGTGCCCAGGGGGCAGGGATGTGGGGGAGGGTGGGGCCCCCAACAATTGCTCCAACCGTGAGCTTCTGCATGTTCCTTGCAGGAGGACTGCGAGACACTGCTGTCGAAGGGAAAGTATGCCACGCACTCAGCAGCCGCGTCGGAATGTCGGGTTCAGATCCATGTCCGTGAGAACGAGTACTGCATTCTTAGACTCCCACCTGCCTTTTGTTCCCACCTTCTTGGAAAGTGTGCGTAGCTGATAGGTCACAGACCGCGTAACAAAAGTCATACTGCCTGCAGCCAAACAATGCAGGTTTCGTATGTGCTGCCTGCGAAATTTGCTTCCCCACGAGTCCACTGAGACTCGCATCGCCACAAAGCATCATGCACTCTATGTGCTCCATCTCGTGCCGCCGTCGCATCGACCACTTTCGAAACGAGGGGAACCTGCATTGTGCATACTGCGGGTTTCAGGGTCAGCCCTTCTCCCAAACTACAGGTCAAATCCGTCGCAAAGATGGGTATCATAAACAAGGTAAAGGAAGACACCCCAATTTCTCTAGCACGTTAACAGCTAAAGGAGCACAGTGCTCAACAAAAATAACTCTCAATCATGAAGCGCAGCCTCCTTTAGGAATCCTAATTTAGAGAACTACCCCTATGCTTCCTAAACCTTAAACCCCTAAACCCTAAACCCCTAAACCCCTAATCCCTTGTGGAGGACCTTTTGGTGGTGGGATGCCCTTTAGATCCACCAAAGAGCCAGGTCCTCGGCACATGCCACTAGGGATTAGGGTTTAGGGGTTTGGGGTTTAGGGGTTTGGGTTTAGGGATTATTAGGGTTTTGGGGTTTGGGTTTAGGGATTAGGGTTTAGGGACTAGGGATTAGGGTCTAGGGATTTGGGTTTTGGGGTTGCGGTTCGGGGGTTTGGGGTTTTAAGGGTTTTGGGTTTAGGGTTTTATGGGTTACCTAGAGTAACTAAGGTACTTTAAAAGAGATAAAATGTACCAATTGTTAAGGGTCATATCTTCCTTTTAACAAGGCACATTGGTCAGTAGAGCTTTGGACCTTTGGGCGTGAGGGCTCGGGGAGTTAGGGGACACGTATAGGGCTCCGGGTTAGCATTTAGGATTTGGAGCTTGAGGAACTTGTAACAGGATGTCGGGTTCGGGGTTCTCCGGTTTGGAGTCACTGTTGAGGCTTCGGCTGCACTACTACCTTTGCAGTGTTGTCATGCTGTTAGCCGAATTGGTTTGTCGAGGGTGTTCAGTGCAAATTGCACAGCCTACATTTTCCTGCTGCTGCAACTTCCGTCCTTCGATCTCTGAACCCGTCCATAAACCCTAAACCGAGGCAATAGCACTGCAGACGTTATCGCGCAGCAGTCGGCAGTGGATAAGTTCCTCTTCCTCTTGCTTCAGTCGATGATGAAGCATGTGGAGCCCGGCGTGCTTGCTCGAACGCCCGAAATAACCTTAGAAGCGTTTGGCCTTTGAGCTGTTGATTCACAGGTGTTGGCGGCTTCAGCCTTCAAAGATGAGTCTTCATAGCCAGGAAATACAGAACATGAGCTGGATTGCCTGGCGCCAGTGCTGCTCTGTGAACCTTCAACTTCAAAGCACTACAAACCCCGAAAGCCGTAAACCCTAAACCCTACAAGCCCTTATAGAACCCTTAAAGGAGCCCTTAACGGAGCCATTATAGAACCCTTAAAGGAACCCTTATGGGCACATGGAGGCGTACTTCAACTGCCACACTTGCTGGAACCCCTTGGTCTTCCGAGAACCCCCCAAACTACCCTCGTTTGTACCGATTCAGAGGAAACGGTACAGTGTTACAGAGATCGCTTTTAAAGGGCACAGCGGGACAGAAAGCCTTTAGGATGTTGCCAAGCTTCAGCTCAAGCTAAATCCCATCCGTTCACTGGTTCTTACCATGTTGATGCCAGTTCGGTGCAACGGTTTGCGAGTGTTTTCTGGCAGAGAGGATAGGCCTGAGATTCACACTCCTTTTTCAAGAGTAAGACGTTTAGCTCGTTGGCCAGCTCTCTCAAGACTTTTGCAGAACTTACTGCCGGATGCCAGGAGGGCTGCGTGCAGCGGTTGGCGGTGCTCACTCATGTCCCTCAGCAACAAGTTGATGTGAGCCATGCCGTGGCAGGTGCATGATGCCAGCAGGATTAAACATTAAGACCCCACCAACCCCAACAATCTTCACAAGCCGAAACCCCCCTAAGCCTTGAGTGTTGAACCCTAAACCCCCTGAGCCTTTAGCTCCTTTGATCCCCTAGTCACCCCAGTTCAACCTCACCACGACTTTCGAGGCCCCACCCAAAGCTAACTTCGGTTTAGGGTTTGGAGACCACGACTTCCGAGCCAAGGACACCTTCACAGTGGAGGAAGCTGCGCACAAGCAGCGCGGTCTAAAGCTCAGTCGGGTTGTGCAAATTTGCGTGTCCTGCACTGGAGGGAGACGACATACGAGCCTAGATCATTGCTAGTGACGCTTTTGCCAGAATTACATGTGTTACTTTAACCCCCAATAGCCCACATTAACCCCCATAGCCTCAATCTGTGGAAGTTCTCCGTTCTGTGAACGTGCGAGCGAAACTACATATCACTCCATAACCGTTTGTGGTGCCCGAGTTACCGTAAACCGTTGACCTAATTAGTCCGCGGTGGTCCGTTGTCAGACGGGTGCTTTTGGCTGCAGTTCTTCGACGGCTATTCTGGTCGTATCAGTTAGGCTTTGCGGTTGCTGAAGCGACCAAGGCACATCACTGGCCATATAGCGAGCAAGATGGCATCGACAAGATCAGTTTCATGTTCCGAACATTGTGGTGGCATTAAGCCACAGCAGTGCCCTTGCCGGCATGCAGAGCAATCAATACCACCATCATCGAACATAACAACATCACCACTATCACCCACCCTGGGTTTGACTTTACATGGGCTTCTTGCCCTTTGACTATAAAGCTCATAAGATGGCTTTGTGCGGACCTGAGGTTTGAGCATCGTGTCCGGAGTCTCTTCCTCAGTCAATTCTGTTGCATTTCACTTGTCGGATGCCCTGAAGTGATGGCCCAACAGCACAGCACCCAGGGGGGGGGGCAGTGTTACGGCGTCTCACTGTTTTTTCACTGCACTTGAAGGTTCCTGCTGCATGCATCCCTCATTCTCCCCCAATTTCCTGCAAACGGCCAGTGTAAGCTTTTTGCCCTGAAACCCCCAACCCCGCCAACAAGGCCACCATCTTCGGCATGATGAACACCGCGCGGCAAGAGCTGGGCATCCCCATACAGGCGCTGCATGGAAGGGCGTCAGAGGATTGTTTAAGGGATCCTCTACGGGTACTATAAGGCTCTAATATAGGGGCCTTCAAACTTATCTACATTATTTTGGGGGTTATATTCATAGTTTGGTGGGCCCCAGTGGCCTATTCCAAGGCCCCTATAACACGGGGTTGGGGCACGGTATGGGCCTTGAGTCAACTTTGAGAGTTTAGGGGTTGAGATGCTTGAGGTTTTGCTGGGATTGTGTAAACACGGAGGGGTGGCAAGGATTACTGAACTTTGAGAATCAGATTGAATAGGAGCCTATAGGCTTTGGAATTCAGGGGGGTCAGCGTTATGATGGTTTCAGATACGGCATTTTGGCTTCAGTTTATCGTTGTGACATTTGCAGTTTATGGCTGAGTGGTGTCAGGAAGTTTCAGGCTTAAGGTTTCACGTTGCTGTTGCGCGTTTTGTTGGCTTTTTGACTTTGTAGCTAGGATCTCACTTGCAGGTAGCAATGTTTGGCCTCGTTGCAGTCGGAGCTAGACCCGAGAAGAAGAGCGCCGCTGTCTGTCAGTGTCTGCAAACGAAGGGACAATTGCATCAACAGCCTAATGAGCCCTTTCTCCTAGTTCTCATAGCTTTGCACCCTAGACCTCGTGGTCGTCGATCTGTGCATGATTTGCAAAAACAACCTTTCAAATTCAGGACATACAAGTAGGGCTCATGGCTTCGTGGCATGGGGTCCGTTTGAGTGCTGTTGTTGTTGCTGCTTGGGGCTTAGGGTTCACAGCTTAGGATTAGGGTGTGGCCGTGTGGCATTCACAGCTTAGGATTAGGGTGTGGCAGTCCTTCCCGCTGACACGAAGCCACAGGTCATCGATGTCGTCCGCAGACCCAGAGGGAGAGTGGGTAAAGAGGGGGGGAGAGTTGCTTTCACATGCTGTGACTACATGGCAGCCGTGTCAGTTAGTGAAAAACAACAACAGCACCATGGAAGGCTGCAGCACATTGTCATGTGTTTCTAGCCATGGGTTGGGGAAGTTGACAGCAGCTTGTGCAAGATGAGCACATACGGACCGGTGCTCAGCAGCCTGCAAAATGTTAGACATGGATGCCCTGTTTTCTGCACAAAGTCTACAGCCTGTCTGAAGGACAGGGCACGTGTGTGGATGCTTTCTGAGCCTCCCAAGACCCACGATCTTAAGCTTAGCAGCTGAACCACAAACCGTGCTCCAACGCTTTGAACACAGGACAAGAGGGCACAATTCGGGGTCCGATAATCACATAAGTGTAGTCCTCAGACTCCTCAGTAACCCTGTAAGCATGAGCTGAATTTCACCAGAGGTCTCAAGACTTGTGGGCCCTTGAGGGTAAGGTTTTAGAACGTCCGCAGAACGTGGCTGAGGAATATCTCGACCGCCCGGACATGATCCCACCCTTGTCCTCGGAGCTGTTTAGGCTTCGTTGCTGCTGTTTCTTGCTTGTGTTTGGGTCCAGGTTGTTGCGGCTCTGTTTTGAAGGGCTACTTCTTTCGCGCGTTTGAAGATTCGGAAATGATATCTGTGTGGTTCAAACTGATGATACGTTTTTCCTCCACCGATTTGTCGAATCAGTTGTATCAGCGCATACACCGGGTAGGGCTATCGAAGATTGATATTGTCATCCCTCAGGGAAGGAGGAGCTCGACATTAAGGCCCCTGTACCAGACTGCTAGATTAGACCAAAGCATACCAAAGCTATACCTTAGAAGCTGCCCCCACCCTGAAATAGTGGTATAATAGGAATATAATAGGGCCCTAATATAATCCTTATATATCCTTATGGTCACTATTACAGGGTGGGGGCAGCTTCTAAGATATACCCAACTTGGTCAGGCTAGGCACCTTCGGGGCCCCGGCCTCAGCGCTTTCATGCGCCGGGACTGGAACCAAGGTTCAAAGGATGCTTTGCTTCGGTGATAGAGCTTGTTCAGGGATCAAAGTTTTCTGCGACTTCCTCTCTGGGATTTAGGAGGCTTCGTGGTTCAATATGCAAGTTCGAATGTGAGAATGAGATGCATGATTGGCGATAGTCGCAGTGCCTGCCAGTCAAAGAGAGGACAGCTAGGTAGTTGGACAGTTGAAAAATGAAAGCAGATTGAACATCCAGCCTTCCGCGGAATCCTAGACACTAGCTACAGCACCATGAACCCTGAAAGTCGTTTGCTCTTCGGCATGCGACATGAAACATCGAATTGCAAATGGTAGGCCCAGATTCCCCCATGGTTTGTGGTTGAAGGTTCGAAGAGTGAAGCTTCGGGATGTAGGGCCGAAGATGTTCAGGGTCAAGGCTTGTTTCGAAGCCGTGAACCTTGAACCCTACCGCTACTCGGATTCTTGCGAAGCCGAAAAACAGGGTCGTTAAAAAACACCTTGAACCCCAAACCTTGAACTCAACCGTCGACTTGAACCGCAAAACTGAGGTCAACACCGTCCGGCAGTGCTGGCCCTACCCGATCTATCGGGGCATCCGCCACGACCGCCCGCATGGGTCGGGGAGCCCGGGCTATCGCGGAGGGGTCCTTTCGGGCAGACCCCCCAAGTGTTAGGAGTCCAAAAGGGGTTTTAGCCTATGGGGGTTTAGTAGGGATTAGGGTTCCCACAATAGGGTTCATGTTAAGGAATCCCTACCCCAAGAATCTTAAAGCCAACTTTTTGGCCTCCCATCATATTTGAGTTATGGGTTGAGACGTTTTGAGGTTTTAGGCTCCTTAGTTCGAGACTTTGAATTCTAAAACCTATAAATTTCGGTAAGCTTGTTTTTGCTCGAACCCTTTGTCCAAACTCCTAGGCGCTTTGTCTACCGGCAGTTCCTGTCGCGGGAGTACGAGACGAAGGCCTCAAAGCCCTGGGCCGTGACCTTGGTCCTGGGCTTTTCTAATGGGTCTAGGTTAGAAGCTGCCCCCACCCTGTAATAGTGACTATAAGGATTGTATTAGGGCCCTATTATTTTCCTATTATACCACTATTACAGGGTGGGGGCCCCTTCTAGGGTCTAGGGTTTAGAGTTTTATGTTTGTTTGATCTGTCTTTCCAAGGGTAAAAGGAGGGACCCTTAATAAGGACCCCTAGGTCTATACCCTTAATATGTAGCTTTTATATACCCATTGTATAGCCCATTTTTGGGTAGGGGTCCCCATTAAGGGTCCCTCCTTTTCCCCTTTGAGTCTTTGCTTCACCAAGTATGTACTTGGAGGATCATGGGACTTAGTAAGTAGGGCTAGAAGTATCTTATTTCGGCTTAAAAGTAGATATAACTATAGTTACCCTACTTATAACCCTACTTACTACTAGGACCTGGAGTAGGCCCTTATTCCCTTGTTTTAGGGTTCAGGTTCCCTTATAAGCCCCTTTAAACCAAAAAGGGCACCCTTTTTGTTCCTAGGTTACTCTTGGGTCTAGACTAAGTCGCATGGTCCTCCAAGTAGGCAGCTTGAGGTGAAGCCCTAAAGGCCGGATCTCCTGGAACCCTACACCCCTGCAGCCCTTTAAGAACCCGTCGTGAACTCCTACAAAACACTGAGCCCTATAACCCCTAAACCCCTAAAGCCCTGAACCCTAAACTCTAAACCAAATCCTTCTTCTGCATCCTTCTCCTGGCCAATCGGCCTTGTGGTAGCTCAGGCGAGTGGGCAGCCACAAAAAGGAGCTCAAAAAAACAACAAATCCCTCCAGCTCTCTAAACTCTAAACCAAATCCTAAACCCTAAACCCTAAACCATAAACTCCTACGAACCCCAAGTAACCCCAAATCCCTCCAGCTCCCAGGATGTGCCCAGCGAGGGCATCATCGCCATCTCCGGCGGTAACGGTGCTTTGGGCCTCGCGCGGACCTCGGAAGCTTGGAGGGTTTGGAATGGTTTAGAGTTTAGGGTTTGGAGGTCGTGAAGTTAGGGATTTTAGGGATTTGTGGTTTTAGCTGCTGTTTGGAGGGTGGAGGGGGAGGGGGCGCGGGGTATAGGTTTTGGGCGTTAAGGGCGCAGACAGCAGAATTTAGTAGCGGCTTCCTTTCACCTGGAACTTTTCGCGCTTCTACCAGAGTTTCTGAGGTCTTTCTGAGAGCTGGTACCGGCGCGTAGGGCTCCAGATCTTTGTGACCGGATGCGATTTCCTCCGCTCCTAGTAACTTGTGCTGATGTGGATGCCCCCCTGGCCTTACCAGAGATTGATGATATACCGTGTCCACCTAAGCCCGGCGCTTGAAGACTGAGGCTCTGATTTCAAAGACAGCCTACATGGCATTCCGAGACGTGACGATCGAACAAAACACACAAACAACGGCAACTCACTTCATAATCCTACCACCATAGGACCTAGAGTAGGCCCTTGTTCCCTTTTTCAGGGTTCAGGTTCCCTTATAAGCCCCTTTAAGCCAAAAAAGGGCACCCCTTCTATTCCTAGGTTACTCTTGGGTCTAGCCACAGTGCTAAGCCCTGTTCCGTCTACTCAGTATTTCCAGAGGGCCTTGGACCCTCTCAACTAGAGCCCCAAGCCCGAAACATAGGATCCTCCTAACTGGTCCCTACTCCAATACCGTAGGTTAAGGAATGCTTAGAGCCCTTATGTGTGGTCTCCTACTGCATGTGTTTTTTACGGAAAGTTCTGAAGTTTGCGGTTGTGGAGTCTCTTGGTTTTTGTGATTCCTACCTGGACCCCCAAAACGTGTAGAATACTTCCCTGTATAGGTTTTGGGCCATCATGTTTGCCTACTCTAGGGGGTTTGGGGTTCTTAGGGTTCTTACCTAGACCCCCAAGTACCCTGTAATATACACCAAATACCCACTATTAAGGACCATAAGGGCTATGGTAGAGGGTACTTGGGGGGTGCTGGTAGGGTTTAAGTCAGAGTCTTAGCCGCCGAGGTGATGGGCTCCTGGCTCCTGGATCGCGCAGACAAGCAGATGAAAGCCAGCGGCTCTCGCCTCAGAGTCTTGAGAGCTGCCTTGCGGGGAATAGGCCAATATGGGAGTTTCCGAAAATTGGGGGTACCTTATTTTGGGGTCCTTCTACTAAGGATCCTACTGTTTAGGGTACTATATTAGGGTCCCCTATTTTCGGAAACTCCCATATAGGAGCCTTATGAGAAGAGGATTATACTATAACTATAAGAAGGAGCCCCCAAAAATAGTACAGGCCAGCGGCCCTCGCCTCAGATTCTTGAGAGCTGACTTAAAAGGGAAGAGGGTAGACCCTCATGTAATCCTAAAGCCTCAGGTTCTTGAGAGCTTTAGGGTTTAGGGGTTTAGGGGTGCTGACTTCCAGGGAATAGGGGAGACCCTCAATCCGAAATGCTACGCTCTGCAGCCAAAACTCCCCAAACCCTAAGGCCAAACCCCTGCTTGGAGGGTCGAAGGACTCCGAGAGCGGGTTACAGCTTGGATTCTGCGTACTCTGGTGTTGTTGTTGCTGTTATGCACCGAGTTTAAGTTTAAGCCATGGGGAGTGCATACTTGGCCAACTACAGTTGTGTAGTCCCTGATGTTACATATATTATTATGATACACCCTAATTACTGCGCACCCAAACCTCTGTTCCGTCTATCCAGGGCCCTAGAATAAGGGCTTCCATGCGGTTTTAGGCTTCCTCGGCTGGTGAACTTCTTAAGGAACCTAATTTAATTTACACCTCGGAAACTGTATTATTATTTCCTATACACCCCTATTATGGTAACTTAAACCTTAAACCCTTAAAGGAACCAAATAGATCCTTATGGTATCTTAAATCAAACTCCTTAACCCCTAAACCCTTATAGAACCCTCAATGGATCCCCAGTATGGCAGTACATCAATTTAATGTCCTTAACAAGACCCAGGCGGCAGAAAGAGATCCTGAATCGATTTCGGCCCCGGAGCACTTTAGAACCGTAAAACGCTCGCGACCAAGCAAGGCATTGCCTAAACCGTAAACAATCAGAATAATAGTAGGAATAGGTCCATATAACTCATGATGATAACAATAACAGCAACAATCTACAATCGTAACAGGGGTCTCAGTAGTTACAAGTAGTATTAGTATCACCTTATAGTCCCTCTCAGTATTATGCTCATGATCCCCCCCAAACCCTGTTCCATTGATCAAGGGGCCTACAGTATAACTCTTGATTTTCCTAAATCCCCAAACCCTAAACCCCGACAACCCTGAGCCCAAAAGTGAGCCCTAAAAGCCTAGGTGGCAAGTACAAGCCCGGCTTCTCCATTCAGCCGTGGCCTTGGGGTTCAAATCGGCCTTGGGAGCTCTAGAGTTGCTCTTGGTGTAGAGTTCTAAGTTTAGGGGTCTAGGGTTCAGGGGTGGTTCGTTATAAGATTTCGTTTTGCAGGCCTCATGGGCTCAGGGTATACAGTAGGGGACTCCCTGCGGATTTGTTTCAGGGTTTGCAATAGGGTTTCTCAAAGTTGTTTGGGATTTGCACATGTTTCTTGTTGGGACTCAAGCCCAGGCTCGCAAGTACTGCCTGTAAAGAGGTGCCCCCTGACTACGTTGTAGGGTGTTGGTCTGCTGTTCGCGCAATGCTCCGAAGCTTGAAGAAGATGCCGAGCATCAAGGGTTGGATTTGGTGGCTTGAATAATGGGGGAGAGTTGAAGGATGTCTGGCTTGCAGGAGGTTTCCCCCTGCACGTAGCTTCTATAGGCTCAATTTAGGATTTATCGTTTGGCCAGTCTTTGCTAAGCTACGAAACCGACGAGTTTTATGACTTCTTCCTCTTCTTCGGGGGCTGCCAGGGTTCGCCAGCAAGGAATGAACGACTCAGCCCATGTCTCATGTCTGGTACGGTTGATGGTTTAAGTCCTGCATTACCTTAATGAACCTAGACGATAGGAATTATGGTATATTCCTTATTATGGGTAATGCATGATCTGATTTAGCCGTATGTTTGCGAGGTTCATGTCCCGATCGGCAAAAATCAGCGACCTCAACATTCCGCTGTGGAACAAGGCTGGCCAGACTTGGGGGACGCTGTCTAAGAGCGGCTTGGGTGCACTTGGGGGGGGTATGCGAGTGAGGGCAAGATCGTTCTACACATCGTGTAGGTGTGTAAATACCTATAGCCTAGAACCATATAAATACGATATGCCAATGAACAAATAATTTCAGTCTCACTTACTTACCTGCACGCACAAACACGTTTTATGTGAGCCCGGAGCCAGAGAGTCGCAAAACCACCGGGGGTGTGTAAGCAGGTATGTAGTTCAGTAGCAAGTTCAGGCCTCCAGCTGTTCATGAAAGGCCGCCGGCAATCGCAAATGAGATTTTGCAAGATGTGCAAGCAATTGAGCTCGACAGTGAATGCGCGACATCCCCGAAGCGCTGCATGCACATGCCACGTACCCTACATCCTGCAATGTCGAAAGCCTACTGCCGACCCCTGCTCGTAAACCCAAAGCTCCATGCCGCTTCGTTCTGAAATCCCGGTCTCTTTTGTGACCTCGGTTTGGCTCCGAGTATGAAGGCCTGCAGCAAGGGAGCAGGATAGTGGCATGAGAGCATCTTTAAAGAAGAGTCCAGAGGAGGCTGCGCCCTATCTGAATGGATGACTTCAAGCTCAGGAATGACGACGCATTCGTTGGCCACCACTACGTATACAACAGAGACCTGCATTTAACCTGAAACCCCTGACTTTGAACTCTAAAGCCGCAAACCTAGTAGGGCTTCGTTCTGCCCACCACCCTAAACCCTAAACCCTCTTTTTTTCTGCGTAGCCAATCCTACCAAGGATCCTTGAGCAATCTAGGGGATACTTTTTACTCGAAGTTGCTCGTAACAGCCAAATCAACCTCATCGCCTTATCCTCGTGCTCGTTTTCAGGGGAACCGGGCTCGTGTCCCCAAGTCCTCAAACACTATCCGTGAACCCTAAAGCCTGAACCAAGCTGCTTATTTGACCATAACCGTTCCCTCGCCTGCAGAGGTGCAAAGCA